GACATTGTTACTTTTGCTATCTTGAATTTTTCATGCTATGCAAAATTCTTTGCTCTTAATGTTATTTCCTCTCTATGAACTTCTTTTATACTGTATTATGAAAATGTCTCTAACCTATCTATTTATCCTCCATTTATATTTATATCAAATTCTGTAAATAATGCTCATTTATTTTTACTTTGTTCCATTTTATATTACACAATTATACTTTTGTAGATATTATTGTACAACATCAATGTGGACAGAAAAGTATGTTAAATATCTATATGTAAGTTTAACTAATTACAGAAACAGTACCTAGGAACTGAAACACAAATGAAGAAATGGAACATTTGCTGACACACCAGAAATTCCCCACTCTGTTTGTATCTTTTAAATAAAAATCTTCTCCCTCCTTCCTGGAGAAAAGCACTATGCTGGCTTTTGCGGTAATTATCTCTTTGATTCTCTTTGTGGTTTTGTCAACTCTACGTGCATCCTTACACAATAGAGTTAAGTTTTATTTGCTTCTAAAATTTATAAAAATAGAAACATACTGTATGTATTCCTCTTTTTTCTTTCACTTAAGAATATACCTGGTTTCAGCAACTATGAAGCTGGGGAGATCCCCACCAGACTAATGATGTCAGGTCTCATTGTCCTCGTAGTCCTTTGATCTTCTCAGTGAAATGGTTTGATACCAAGAAAAAGAAGAACATATCTCTATGTATTTGTTAACTGAAATGCTATAGAGCAAGGAAAATTAATAAACTATAGGTATGCATAATTTTAAGTGACTGAAAAAAATAGGGAGGTATATAGATTAAAATGCAAAATATTCCTTTTACTGTACCCTGTACACCTGTGCTTTTCTTGTTTGTGATAGAATTTGGTGTGTCTCCTGATAGTCTTTTGTCTATTCATTTGCATATATGCACAAATATGCACATATATTTCTTTTTAAAATAAGAGGGCTCTTACTCCATATATTATTCTGTGACTTCTTTTTTTGCTTAAAAAAGTATCTTAAAGATCTTTCCCATTGAGGATGAATAAGTCTTTCTTACACTTCTCAATAGTTGCTCTATGGTGACTCAGAGTAGAACTGTACTATAATTATTGATTCTTTATTGATAAACATGTACATTGTTTCCATTTCATATCTGTGACAAATATACTACAATGAGCATGCTTGCAGAAATATATTTGGGCAAGTGTATAAGTATTTTTGTAGACCAAATTATTAGAAATAGAATTAGTAGACCAAAAACTTACAAATATTTAAGATTTGTTATTTAATCCCAAAAGCTAATACCAAATAGCCATTAAAAATCTTTATCAATGTTCTTTCCCAAAATAGTGAGTCTAATCACTCAATTTTTTGATGTTGTGAAGCATCATATACTTCTTTTCAATGCAAATGTTTGCACCAGACCAAGCAGAAGAATCAGAAATATGTGACTTGCTATATCACTGCTCTGCTTCCATCAGACACCAACAAAAGTCATTCATGCTGCTTTATAGTCACTAGTCATATGTGTTATATTTATAAACAAATCATGTTTCAAGGCTAGTTAGAAATAAGAATTCCATTTAAGAATTAGTTTGTGGGGCTCCCCTGGTGGCACAGTGGTTGAGAGTCTGCCTGCCAATGCAGGGGACACGGGTTCTTGCCCCGGTTCCGGGAAGATCCCACGTGCCACGGAGCGGCTGGGCCCGTGAGCCATGGCCACTGAGCCTGAGTGTCCGGAGCTTGTGCTCCGCAACGGGAGAGGCCATGACAGTGAGAGGCCCTCATACCACAAAAAAAAAAAAAAAAAAGAATTAGCTTGTGATACATATTTGCTGAAAAATACAAAAACAAAAACAAAACAAAAAGCTCCAAACTCTACCAGGTATGTGGAATTACAAAGAGCTAGTTCTCTGTGTTATCATGTATAAAATGAAGAGTTCTGACAAGAATTGGTATCAAAAGTCTTTTCCAACTGATGGATTCTTTGCTAAGGAGTTAAGACGTGTAATGACTAATTTTATGTGTCAACTAGGCTAGGCCAAGGTACCCAAATATTTGGACAAACATTAATTTTTTTTTTTCATGAGGGTATTTTTTATATCAACTCTTTTCTGAGTCTACAGCCTACCTGCCTACCCTGTAGATTTTGGACTCCCTGGCCTCTACAGTCATATGAGCTAACTTCTTAAAAGAAATATCTCTCTCTCTCTGCCTCTCTCTCTAGCTGTCTTTCCCTGTACACTCTCTCTCACACACACAAGCACACACATTCTATTTGTTCTATTTCTCCAGAGATCTCTAATACAGTATGTAAAGTAAAAAGAACAAAATACTAGGCCAGTATGTGAGCAGGTCAGGAATGAGCTATCAGGTTTGGGCTGAGTGGCCAGAGAAACAAGCCCTAGAAATATGGAGTATATATTTGAATTGCTATGGCTGTAGGCCTCATATTCATTTTGATTTTGACATTAGCCTGGGATATACCAATCAGATTTTTCTGTATCATGTGGTCATGTATGAGGGTTTTCATCAGGCAAGCTAATTAATATTATTTTCATAAAAGTCAAAATTACATTACAGTCTTTGTGACACAAAATTTTTTATTTTGTGACATAAAAAATAATTTTCCTAGAATTTTTTCCAAAATGCTTATGACCCCAATTACATAAACTGCCTGAAGTTTGTTTCTTCTCATTTTTCTCATGTTTTCCAGCACAGGGCTGGCTGCACACATAGTAGGAGCTTAACAAATACACATATTAACTATTCCTTGAGGAATTATGGGGAGAACGCACAGGGTTATGGGAGTAACCTCCAAGTCTTCTTATGCCAAAGGGGCTGTGTTTCACTCAGAGTAGTGTCTCTGGTCCCAGCATGCTGGTAGGACCAGAATTAAATAATCATGACCCCTCAGCAACCCACATGGTTATGGATAGTTCAAAAGTAATGCAATCAAAGATGAAAACACACTCCATCTTCACAAAAAAGGAACTTGGTGCCTTTCTCCCAGTAGAAGCACACTCCTTTACATGGCAAATTGAAATATAAGGCTAATGAAATTTTCTCTATGGGTTGGGTTTCATTTATAAGACATGAGAAATAGCAATTAGATAAATTCCTGAAGCAGATGAATGTGGGTACCTATACATACCTTCATGGAGGTAAAAATCACAACAACCTGATGCAACACAAATCAAAGGAAGCAGTAAGTAGAGGTACCATACATAGTCGTGTTGAAGACAAGTATTTTAATCTAACAATTAGTTTCACCATGAATCAAATACTTTTTAGTAGCTTGAAATAAAATAGTATTTAGTTTAATTCTGATAAGCGTGAAGCTTTGCTTCATTTGACCAAGGGTGTTTAAGATCTGAACAATAATGTGTAATATGGAAAGTCTTTAACGGCAACCTTTTCCTTTCTAACTAGTGCATAATATTGGTTTTGCAATCACTTAGTAATTATATGAAGAGGACATATTTATTACGAATTATTGATTTTATAATTACTGCTGCTGGCATTCACGTTATTACACAATGAAAATCTTTTAATATACAATGCTCTTCACCCTCAGCTGGCGAACAGATAGTGCAATGCAATTTAGAGAGTAGCCAAGAGTAGATTTTTATCGTTTTTTTTTTTTTTTTTGGCCAACCAGCTAAATGGTTTGCTTTCTGAAAAATATTGCTAATGGTGCTTAAGCAGAGAGGAATGTCCAATTTCAAGGTCATTCCTGGCAGTTGATTACAGTCATCCAATGAGCACAACGTTCCTATTTAACTGTTATTTTTGCTGCACTCATTGCTGTGAATTAAAAGTTATGACTGTAAATTTGCTGCCAGCTAAACAGACATCAAAGGCCACAATCATACACTGGATCATGACACATGAAGATATATCTCTTATGAAATTGATTTTTCTCCATGTGCAAGGCAGCTTTGCATTACTCACTTCATGGAGTTTAGCACAGGAAATGTCTAGGCAGGCCGAGTGTAATTGTCAGAGTAGTTTATATTCTGGGCCAAGAACTCCTTTTATTATTTTTTTCCCCTTCATGAAGATGTGCAAAAAAGGTTGTCTAAGCATATATTTTGATTTTACTTGCCAACAGATTGTGAACAGCTGATTTAAAGTCACTGTCACCCCCAAACGGGAAAAGATTAGGTTTCTGAAGACCAGAAATATTAAAAAGTCTGCCCAAACAATATTTGCTGCTCACCAGAATTCAAAATTGCTGATTTTCACCCTAGAAACAGCCTACAGAGTTTTGTAAAGGCTGTAAATCTATTATGCCATTTTAATCCATCAGATTTTCACTATCCTGTGGATAAGAGCATCAAATAGAATTACATGGGCTTGATTAATGATTTTCTCTTCTGAATATTGTGTTGCTATTACAGAGGGACATATATATATATATATATATATATATTTTTTTTTTTTTTACAAAGAATGTAAGCTGTGTCTAAATAAAATACCTGAAAAGTTAAATCATATTTTAAATGTATGCAGGTGGAATGCTATTTCTGGGCTCCTATGTGGGATTGCTTTATAGTCCTGGGCACTGTGCATTTCACTGGTGTGATTGGAAACTCATCATTAGAACAAACCATTGGAGACTTGCTGACCCCAAACCCCTTTCTTTCATCTGCAAAGGAAGCTAGTTATTATATTTCATGTGGAATTTAAATTCCAAACTCACCAGCCTGACTTTTAAAGCCTTTTAAAAATCTCACCCTAACTTTACTTTTACAATTTCTCTCTCACTATACTCCTCTTCACACTACAGTCGACTTAGCTGTTCACTTCCCATGATTAGAATATGCTCATTTCCATCCCCTTGCAACATTGCCATCACCTTAAATGTTCTCTCCCTCTCTCTTGCATATTCATTTGCTGTCGATCCTTCACATACCAGTTTGAGACCTAAGTTCCTCATGAATTTCTCTTCCTCTCCTTTTAGTCTATAGCACTCACTTAAAGACTTAGTTATATTCTAATTTTCTCAATGCCTGCTTCCTGTGTTAATTTGCAGTGGTTTACTCCAATAGAGGAGATTTTTCTTGAGGATGAGGAAGCTACTGCTTCTCTGTGAACACACAACTTGGACCACAGCAGTGTTCACTAAACCTTTTGTAAATTAAATGTAATGGGATTGAATTCTGAGAAATGAGATTCTAGCAGTGACTAACAGGGACAAAGAACAATCGGTGAGGGATCCTACCACACCATCACTGTTCCTTAACTTGACAAAGTGATGACATCTTTATTAGGTCTCAGTTGGAAAGCATCCTTACTTCCCTACATCTTATGATTTTCTTCCTTGTGGAGAAAGGAAGTTCACCTCTCACCACCTCTCCCCAACTAGAGAGAGAGAAGCCCAGTTTAACTGTGATGTTATAGGATACTCTAGAGTGTAGATATTTTCTCTCTCTCCTTTTCTTAGTCCCCTATTTCAAGGAATTAATTTGTCCCATATTTATCTGGTATCTACTCTAAGTCAGGTGCCCTTCCAAGTACTAGGGATATGGAGGTGAGTAGGGCAAATAATAGCCCTAATTTCAGGAAGTTTAGATTCTACTGGGGAATATATATGTAAAAGTATATAGTGTGTATATATATATATATATATAGAGAGAGAGAGAGAGAGAGAGAGAAATTTTAAAATTATTAAAGAAAAGAAAAGATAAATCTCATGATGATAAGAACTAGGGATGATTAGAGGGCAGACACTGACTGGAATGAATGAAGCTCTTTTAGATTAGGTGGTCAGAAAGGGCCCTTTTGAGGAAGTTACAGGAAAGAGGCAGGCATAAAATTCCTGGGACTCCAGGGTTCCAGACAGAGAGTAGCAGGTATGAAAGTCCTAAGGTGGGGACAAGTCTTTGTGGTGCTCAATAAAAAAATTAAAGTCTAATGGGCTGCAGGAGGGGGAAAAGGAGATAATGGTTTGAAATAACATAGGCAGGGCTGGATGAAAAAAGGTCTTGTGATGACCATAAGGAGTATGGATTTTGTTTGAAGTGTAATCGGAAGCCAGTCGAGGGTTTTAAAGAAAGAAATGATGTGGTCGCATCTACCAATTGAACGTGTATAAGGATATATAATCTGGTTGGTATTTTGGAGAGTGCTGTGATAGAGCAGCCAGTGGATTTTACCATCCCCTTCTGCTTTAGGATTCATACACAAAATCAGAGAAGGGAAGGAATTTCACTAACATATATTCACCTCATGGAAACATTTCAAGGAATAGGGTTGTGTGTATTTACATATATATGTATATGCATTGATATATACATGATATATAATTATATATTTCAGGAAGATATTCACACACTTACAGAAATTGCCAAGGTAAAACACATTACTAGTTGGAATCTTGTAAGTATTTTTAATGAAGTTGTTTTTCCTGGATTTATGACAATGTGAAACATGGATTGCTTCCTTTCATTTACACAGTTTCTAGAGCAGCTATTACCATTGTATTTTCCAAAATAGATTTTTCTTTTCCCATCTTGTAAAAATGTGATTTTTATTTATGTACCTTTCATTTGTCTCAAAATGTTCAGCTTAGTGACAGTCAATCAAACTAATGAATTATGAAATGAAACTAATAGTAACTCAACTTTCCCAAACTGCTGGGACAGAAGGTAACATATAATTGATTCCTGACATTCCATGATAGTGGAGTTTTCCACACATAATTTGCCACAGCGTCAACAGCCTCAGGTTTGAGAGCCAGGTCATCCTCTAAGACTTCACATCAATTGATCACAAAATTGGGTTGTTCAGCAAGTTGGGGTGCTGAACATTTAACACTCTGGTCCAACATCTCTTCTTGGGAAGCAGGGGTCTTGATAAGCATTACTCTAGAAACACAGAATTACTGTTTACCTCAAATTGGCACCTATGATCTTTTTTGAAATCTGATGACATTTTGATCAATCCACTTCCAAAATAGATATCACTGAAACTCCTTTCTGTGCACAGAGATATGTGAGACATCATCTAATCAATTTATCTTCCCCAGATAATCCTGCAATTGAACCAACCCATTCAGTAGGTGTCTATACTTTTTTAAAAGCTTTTTCTCAAAAAACACATCTACACCTCTCTTTGAAAATACATCCCACAATCTTAACTACTTCTATCAGAGTGCCATGATGATGTAGTGAAAAAAAGAATAGTAAGATGGAAATCAGTCGTTTTCCATTTTTACCATGTTTTGCCAAGTTGACTAGACTGTGTTACCTTGGATAAGTTACTTCACCTCCCTAGGGCACAGTTTATTCATCAGCAGGATAAGGAGATTGGATTAATTGATTTTCAAGGTATGCAGTCTACCTCCAAATATTGTTCTTTTTGCCTTGATTGTTTGTTTGCTCTTACTTGTTTGTTTGCTTCCATCTATCACATATTAAAAGGCTGAGAAAAGAGTCTTCCTAGTCCTATTTATTATAATTCACATATATGAAGAGTACAATAGATGTGCCACTCTATATTTTATTTTCCTTTAAGGCAAAATGCTGTGTTTACTTTCATTAGGCTTCACAATTTCAGCAAATATTTTATCATGAAAGTAGGAATGCCAGGCCAGGCAGGCAATTATGCAGAACAGTCCTTCCTTCCTGCTATTACAATGAATACTTCCACCTCTTGTCAATCTAGAGAGCTTCCAAAGGCATCATGAGAACAGGTGATTCTAGTCAGTGCTTCACTTTTTATTGCTTTTCACTTTTTATTTCTGTTTATGTGTTTTTAAAGTATCCCCATGCTCTTTAGCTTTCAGACTAAGTCCTAGTTTGCCAATCCAAAGAGACCACTTGCAATGTTAAAGGAGATCAATACTATTTTGGATAAATTCTCACTATCCTTCTCAAAATGCAGGGGTTAATGCAAGATTAAATGTGGTAGCATAACTTTTGATTCTCTGTGTGACATGATTTAGTAAAATAGCAGATCATTCAGAAATCATTAATATTTGGCCTTGAGGTATATTAGAGGATGCATCTTTGATCTCCCTTTCTAATTATGTTTTGCTTTGGTTTAATCTTAAAGAAATAATTTGCATTCCCAAAGCACATACCAAGTAACAACAGAGAAAGGGACTTAGAAAAAAAACAAGGGAGAGAGAACTAGGATAAGCTTCTCAAATGCCATGGAAAAGTCATAAAGTAAATGTGTAAGTAAATAATCCAAGATTTCATTAAATTTACCCTTTGTTCTGCAGGCCAGCTTCTCTATCTTAAAGTTATTTCCATTCGTCTCCTCCTCGAAACCAAAGTCATTGAAGATCAACAAATAAATATGAATTTGTGAGGACCTTCTATAAATACAGAATTGTAGAGAATGTGTGTTGAGAAACAAGTCTCTTGCCATTCAGAAGTTTCCAGTCAAAGCTGACCCATGAACCTAAAACATATGTAGTGCAGAAAATAAGAAATGGCAAAGCACAAAATATCATATAATTATTAATTGTTCAATTGTTGTGGCACAGCACATCCTTGCCGTAAGAGATTAACAGGAGATCAATAAGAGCTGCTAAAGGAGAGACCGTGTCACACGGGTGTTTGAAATGGGGTTTTAAATCTGAGTAAGATTTGAATAAACAGAAAGAAAGACAAGAGAAGGACATTCCAGATTCCAGTGTTCAGAAAAAAAAAAAAAAAAAACAGTTTGGAAATACATTATGCAATACAAATACCCATTATACTGATGCAGGAGCTGGGCAAGCAATTTATTTTACCCATAAATTTCAAATAAAGAAACTTGAATCACGATGTTACCTAAAAAATTTGCAATGAAAGAGGGGTAAATTCCCCTTGGCAACACTGTATGTCAGTTGTTGAAATTCACTGTCTCCTTCCAGTTAAGCACAGTCGCTGGATTAAAAAAAATTCTAACGTCTAACAATATTTGAAGCTTTGTGCTAAGATAGGGTTATCAAATCCCATGCTTCAGGGCATCAGGTTTTTGCTGAAGGGCACTAATGAGGATTTTTACCCAGTCTCATTGGCATGTAACATCAAGAAAAAGCTGTGTTCAAGATCAGGTTACTGATGTCCTGTGTGAGCATAGCCTTAGACAAAAAATAAATTTCTATGGACTTTGACATATTTCCACTTTCCCACACCCCAGCACTCAGAGAATCTCCCAACGCCTTTGCTTGCTTAAATTGTCATCGTTGAGACCAACTGGAGAAGTGATGCCATTAATGAGAACCTCATTGCTTTTCAGAAAACATGAGTGTAGATTATGCTTCTCATATATTTCACCAGGTAATGATGTAGATCCTATGAGATATTTTGTTTTTTATGATGCCCAGGAATCAGGACAAAGAGTGAGGTTGGAGAAGAGATGGGAGAGGACTGGAGAATCAAAATAAAATAAACATTATTTTCCTCTATCTTTAAACAACTCACAAACTATTTGCAGAGACAAGGTAACTGCACAAGAAACACATACAAGTGAAAAGGTGCAATAAAGTTGGGACAATAAGGACAGTAAGATAAGTCTGAAGACAAAAGGGTATAAAAGAAAATATAGATCAACACCAAAATTTAGAAAAGACACAGTGTCAAGGAAGGATGAAACTACTGCTTTGAATGGCATTACTTAGTTACAGGAAGGGGTGTGGAAGAAAGAAGGCCAGTCTATGCCAGCATGGGGACCAGAGAAGCATGTTTGGGTCTCCTTATTTTAGCATTTGTGAGTCCACAATTTTTCTATGAGTTAAATATTTTTATTCTTACTTTACAGGTGAGGAAGGTGAGGCTTAATGAGTTTAATCAATTTGTTCAAGACTACACAATTATGTAATTGGTAGAGCTAGATTAAAACTTGGGAAATGTAAAATAAATAGCTAATTGGAAGCAGCCGCATAGCACAGGGAGATCAGCTCGGTGCTTTGGTGCTTTGTGACCACCTAGAGGGGTGGGATAGGGAGGGTGGGAGGGAGAGGCACGAGGGAAGAGATATGGGAATATATGTATATGTATAGCTGATTCATTTTATTATAAAGTAGAAACTAACACACCATTGTAAAACAATTATACTCCAATAAAGATGTTTAGAAAAAAGTGGCCACCACATTAACAAAACAAACAAACAAAAAAAAACAAAAAAACTTGGGTGTGTCTAACCCCAAAGTCTTTGCTTTTCTCCACTCATAAGCAAGGCATAAGTTGATTCTGCAAATGAGGAAACTATATCCTGAGATGATTTTCAAAGTAATCAGAGATTCAGATGATTCCAGTTAGATGTTCATGTCATGAAAATAGAAAAGACACAGAAAGAGTGAAAGAGACAGAAAGAAGTAGAGAGACACAGAGAGAAATAAGACAGAATCAGAAGAGAATAAGACTCTAGTAAGCCAGGTAAAATGGTTTCCATTCTTTTGAATATTTTAATATATCTTAGACACTCATCATTTCACAAATCAATCAACAGATTATGGTAATCCTATTACAATTTTGTAAAAAAATCTCAACCAGAATAGGTCTTTATCATTTCTCATGTTGAGTATGGTGAGCTGTTGCATCTCTCAGATGAGTCTAATATGATTTGCTTAGATCAATGGTTCCCAATCACACAGGGAGTTTTAAAATATCCCAATGCCTATGTGACATTACTTGCCAATTAAATCAGAACGTTTGAGTAGGAGTCAGGCATAATAGTTTTTAAAAATTCCCAGGTGATCCTAATGTGCAACAACATTAGAAAACTAGTGACTTACTTGAAAATTCACTTAATTTTCCTTTATCCTAAATCTATCTTAAAATTTTATGTTTTCCTTATACAAGTAGATGTCAGATAACTATGTTTAGAGCTTAGGGTTTAAGCTTTGTGTAAACCTTATTTCAAAAACCAGCTCGGCCATTTCTTTGAGCATGCTACTTAAAATTTCTAAATTTTTGTTTTCTCACCCATAAATAAATAACACCCATCTCCCAATGCCCTCCGGTATTAAATGAGATGATAGATGGATAGGATCTGACACAGTACTGTTCCTATGGTGCTCAGGTAATATTGTCTCCTGTTTTTCTTTACCCACTTTAATGAGGAAGTTGAGTCTGCTAACAAAAGCAACTTGCCCCAGGTTCCAGAGCTAGTTAAAAGCATAACAAACCTAGAAGCTTTCCAGCATCTCTCTTTAAAGTATTGTTTTCATTGTAAAATTTTAAAGATAGTTGGGGGAAAACAATAACAACAGCAAAAACTAATCTAGAGGAATAAATAACCCTATACATGTTTTTCCACCCTCCTGCCTGAAAGTCTCCAATGTGCCTCTGAATCAAGCTTATGATCTGCTTAATGTGTCCCTGCTTCATCATTTTATACATTCTTGTCTCTCCTTTTGCAACATCTTTTGCACCCAGCCTGACTTCTGTCTTGCAACTTCTACCCAACCTATTTCTTCCTCAATTTTTCTTCTTACTCAGGGTATTCCTTCTGCCTTAGTTTCCTCTTATCAGAATATGACTCATCCTTTAAGAACCAAATGAAAATTTATCAGGTCGACAAAATATTTCTTTTTTTCTAAATTTAAAAATAATTAATTTATTTATTTTTGGCTGCATTGGGTCTTCGTTGCTGCACATAGGCTTTCTCTAGTTGCAGCGAGGGGGGCTACTCTTCATTGTGGTGCGTGGGCTTCTCATTGAGGTGGCTTCTCTTGTTGTGGAGCACCGGCTCTAGACACACAGGCTTCAGTAGTTGTGGCACGTGGGCTCACTAGTTGTGGCACATAGGCGTAGAGTGCAGGCTCAGTAGTTGTGGCGCATGGGCTTAGTTGCTCCATGGCATATGGGACCTACATGGACCAGGGATCAAACCCGTGTCCCCTGAATTGGCAGGTGGATTCTTAACCACTGCACCACCAGGGATGTCCCGACAAAATATTTCTTATTCCTTCTATTAACCTTGGCTGAATAATAATAATAATATCCTAAAGTTAAAAATTCTCTGTTTTAATCCAGATGTTCACTAGTTTCCTTCCCTGGGATGGGGTTGAGGGCAGGGAGAAAGATTAGAATGCAATGCATCCTGGGGCTATTTGGGGATTTCTCAAAGAAAAGAGAACACGTTTTACAGAGCACCAGTAAGTCAATAAGATTGGGGCAGACTGTTATGATTAAGGAAAACAAAACATCACATAAAATTTCACTTACAAGTATATCTATAGTTTATTTCTATATGTGAAATAACAACCATTTAAATAATTCAAGCCTGGTAAGTGCCCAGCGCTGTATCAATTTTCTAGCTATTTTGGAGAAAATGGTTATTCCTTCTTTAATTATTCAGTTGATTATGTCAATTCTACAATTCACTTAGCCAGTGTAGCCTCAGTCTCAAAGTTTTAATCCAGAGCCTGTCACTCACTTCCTCAACGACCTTGGGCAAGTCACTTAATTTCTCCATATCTCAATTTCTTTGTCTGTAAAATTGGGATAATAATCTTGACCTCACGAGAGGTTGCATGAATTAACTGATTAATGATTATAAAGCAATTTGAAAATACAGAACACTATATAAATGCTAAGTATTGTTATTAAGCAAATCAATTCAGAAAATCAAGATAATGACATTTCTTTTCAATCTATTTCTTAAAGTGTCTAATGTCTTTGCATCTACGCTCTGTGTTGTAAAAAAGCAGTTTAAATATTTATAACTTAAAATTTTCTAGTTTAACCAGTTCCTACTGCATACCACAGAGTAGAAGAGGAGAAAAAAAAATTATTGAGCTGGAAACTTGAACTTCTCACTCGCTTTGACTTTTTGCTTATATCTAGCTTAATTTAGGTGGACAAAAAAAGGTCTATCAATCAAGTATATCTATCTAATCTATCAATTTACTGGAATCCTGGAATTTCAGAGTTAACGTGGTCATTAAAGACTTTATATTCCAATACCCTTGTTTAATTGATATGAAGAAAATATTGAAGGAGAAATGATTTGTTCATGTTTGTATGGACAGTTTGTGCCAGAGATGATTTCTATTTTCAATCCTTGGCTGCCTAGTCTTCAGATGCAGAGCAGATAACAGAACATAGGAGAAACATGAGGATCTTACTTGGAGAGACTGATGAGATTGAAAGCCTTGCAAATTATGATTAATTAATGTGAACTTTAAAAAATAACATGAAATAATTTGACCAATTCCTAGTTCATCAATTGTGGAGTTTGTTCACACAGCTTTGGAGATAAAAATTATTAGGATTGACCATTGTGCAATTTCCAACTTTGATCACGTTGCATTCACTTAATTTTGTCACTTTTCCTTAAAATCAGGTGACCTCAGGAATTAGGTTTCAGGTTATATATAGAAATACAGATTTTAAATAAAGATACAAAATGTAATATAGAGTACTGATTTTCAATTCAAATATTACAGTTCTATGTCCAGCTCACCTGAGTAGCCTTAGCCAGGTATCCTCTCACTGGGGTATGGTTCCCTAATCCATTAAATAAAATGTCAGGGTAGAAACCTGCTAGAGTCTCTCAGTGCCAAAGTTCTGAATACAGTGATGTCTGAACCAAAGTTTAGAATTCCTCAGGTAGACAGTGGATTCTGAATAGGTCATAGACAATAAATCTGATTGTAAAACCAGTCACACTTAAACCAAATGCTCATTTGAGTTTTCCTATCCTCAATGAATACATCTGCAGGATGTTAATGCTGAAAGGAATATTGGAGATCATTTAATCTGATTCCCTCATTTTATGTTGAGAAAACTGAAGTCTTGAAATATTAAATAAATAGTCCAAGGTCACAAAGTCAATCAGTGAGGAAGCCAAGCATAAAACTCAAAGTTTTTGGTAGATCCAAGTTGACTGTAGTTCTTCTAAATCATTAATTAAGATGACATTGGGGTAAATGACAATTACGCACTGAGGTTAGAAATTTCATAAGCCAAAAGAATAGTTAAATCTTTAAATATTGCTTCTCCTGATTTTCTTCTTTTTACTCTTCACATGGGCTTGTTCTGAAGACATAGCTTTTAAAAGAAGGTAATTCTTTTCAAAATAACAACTCAAATGTCATAGTGTCTAAAATACTATCAT